TAATAAGACATTCTTGGTGGATCATGGTCTAAAGCATCTTTGTACGAAAGAAAGATGCTACAATTTCTGGAAAGGGAAATTAATAATGATTCTATGGTGAATAATGTGGACAGTGAAGAAGAAGAACAACAACAACAATAGTCTTGTTTAATAATCTAAGAAAGCAAAATTTTCTAGATATAAGTACTAATTCAAAGGACAAGGCAAATTAATAATATTCGTGAATAGTATATTTGTTAAACAAGGCTATATGTCATGTTTAATATGGTTATTAATAAGTGCGAAAATTCTATTCATTTGATTGCATCTTCTTTTTGTGTGACATGGTAGTTTATGACATGTGAATACAGGTCATAATATTTTGTGTCAAAATTTAGTCTAAGAAAAGATGCGTGTAACATGCCTTCAAATGTGGTAATAAGTATTTTATTACCTTGATTGATGAATAGTCACTACTTGTGCATGTGTATCTAAGCCAATCGCCTAAACAATAACATGAGAAATATGTATTTGTATTACTCTCAAGTAAATTTAGGTACTATAAATGCTGGTAATAGCATTTTGTTCTGTATTCAGTCAAGTGTATGATGTGATCATAAGATGCTAATTGTTGAAATCAAAATTTTGGCTACCGCATGTGTAAAAAAGCCAAGTAGTTTAGGGTTTGTGGCCACACCCTATGCCTCTAGTCTTTTTATCATGCAATGTGTAACTACTATGTCTAGAGTTTTGAATAGGTGTAATAGTAAATCTAGTCACGTTAAGTCTAAAACTTGAGTGTCTTAAACAAATTTCATTAAAAGAATGATGTTATGTTTATTGCATATGAAAACTGCAACAATTAAGGATATCCGTTGACTAAACCCTCATCAAGGGACTTGGTGAATTTAATGTCATTGGATATAGGGTTGAAAACCTTAATCTAAAATAACTTGCAATGGGAACCCTACCTTGATTCTAGCATACCATTAGATGAAAAGGTTTAAGGGGTAATAACAAGTTGTTAAGTGGTTGGTGGGCACTAGGTTCTGTTGTGTATATTCCCACCCACTAGTGCATAATGTTATAAGAGGTTGAGTATACGTTGAAATTATACTCTTAATGAAGTGTAAATTCTTTCTTAGTGCTTGGTCCTATAAAGCATGAAAGTGTCTTCACCTATATGATCATAGGAGCAGTGCCACTTCTAGTAAAAGTTAGGTTTGTTTTTGCTTATGATCATGAATCTAGGATGGAACACATGGCCGGTAATAATGCTAAAGTTTTTTTGTGAATTGATCAATGTTTATAATACATGTATGTTGTATATCTAGTCTAATTTTCAAATCATGGTTTAATGTTATATGCAACATTGATTTGGTTAGATTTGGTGATATGCTTACACTAAAAGAAAAGTTTAAATCAACAATACTTTTCTTTATGCATGGCATTTTATGTGTTAGTTTGTTTATTTCATTCGCAAACTAAGTGAGGGATTGTTGGAATAATTTGTGAATGAAATAGAAATGAGACTTGTTACCATAAAAAAAAGTTCGGAAACTTAAGATTTTGTTGGAAGCCAAAAGTTTCTAAAACGTTTTTGGCATTTTCTATCCATTAAAGGGGTTTAATGGTACCTTTCAATATTCATAAATGTCCATAAACGTGTGAAATAGTGGCTAAATAACTTGTAACCCTTGGGCTGTCTTTTCACTATAAAATAACAAGTCTCTAACACATAAACTAACTAGAAAATTTGATCATTTTTTTGTAGAGCAAACTTGACATTTACTATCAAGTTACTCTAAAAATCTTGTTGTATTCTAGAGGTAATTTGTCATAACCCTGCAGCAAATACTTTGTTCGGGGGGGAGGGGGTAAATAACACGTTAAAGATAGTGTCAAACACGCCTCAAGATCATCATCTTTATCCCCACTTTGTTAGTGAAATTGTGCATCAATTGCACCAACGTCCTCTACTACTCAAATTATATAGTCTAAAACCCTGAGTTGCTCTTTGAGTTTGGATTCAACAAATGTTTTTGTTGTAGGCCAGATATTGTGGAGGCATTTTCAAGTGTTCTCTAAGATGTCAACAGACTAGATGGATATCCAAGTAGAAATTAATACAATTTGAAGTCAGATGATTGCTAGCTAATATGGGTTGTAAATGAAAATGAAGCAACCTGATATGTAGAAATATAAACCAAACTTTTGCTATTTATGTATGTTGTCATGTGGCTTTAGTGTGATTGATTGGTTTTATTTAGAGCTGTTAATCGAACCAGGTAGCTCACGAGCCGAGCTCGACTCGGCTCGATAAGGGCTCGGCTCGGCTCGTTTACAGAGACAAATGATCCGAGCTTGAGCTCTACTCAGTACTCGTTTAAGCTCGGTAGGCTCGAAGAGTAGGGGTATTAGCATCATTTCATTGTGTATGTGGTACTCTAACCTAAGTCATTCTCCCGTTTGTAGCCCTAATTTTTCTTTCCTTTTTTGGTCTTACCTTTTCCCGTTCCACAGCCGCAGCCACACGCCCGCACCCTCCATTCTCACCATCGTCACCGACTCACCATTCTCCAATTTATCCATCATCTCACCTCCATCAGGACCATCACCTATCCGTCCACCATCTCACCGCCAGGCGCCATCCCTAATTTTTTCTTTCCTCTTTAGGTCTTTCCTTTCCCCGTTCCACAGGCGCAGCTGCAGCCTCCATTCGACTCACCAATCCATTCATCTCACCTCCATCACCAATCCGTCCACCATCTCACTGCCATCATTCAATCCCCTTCTCTTGATTCCGTGAGCAGTGCCATACGGAGCCACCTCGGTAGAGCCAGGGGCCTCTACCATATCCCGATTCGCTGCATTCTGGTAACCATTTCTTCTCAATTTTTGCAATTTATTTTGGTTTTAAGAGGCTGTGTGGGTTTTGGTTAATGGTGGATAGCCCCGTATCCCGTATGGCTTCCTCGTATCCCGTTGGCTTCCTGTGTTTTATCTCTGTGTTTTATCCCGAATTTCACCTGGACGGATTGCTTATGCATCGCTTAGTGGTTTCAATTTTGCTTGTTTCCAGAATAATACCTACTAGCAGTATATTTTTGTACTAGTACCATGTTGATTGAAAAGTCATTTTAGTGTGTCTGGCAGTCAATTTGTCTTGATAGTGACTTAGTTTTTGAATTTGTGTGTGACTACGTGTTTAATCAGAATTATGAGAATCCAAACTTGGTCCTAATTGGTGGAAAATTTTTGGAAACTGAAAACTAGTGGAGTCAATTAACTATCAAACCAAAATGTCCTATCTTAGAACAGAGAAAGAGAAGGTTCTCAGCTTCTTTTCTTTTTACTAATGCTCTTTATTTCTTTTCCAATTTGGATGACGGAATTTGGAATTGTCTTGTTTATTTTTTTGGGGCTGGTGGTTTTTTTCGCCCGCCCCCTATTGGGGGGGGGTTAGGTTGTACGGTAGTTTAAGATTCTTAGTGTGGTCTTCTTGAAATTTAACAGGATAAATGGTTTGAGTTTTCACTTTGTGAGAATTTTGTGGCCTGAGATTAATGGGATACTAATTGATAAAGTCCTAATTTTCCATTTTTTTGTTTTGACTAAAAAAGAAATACAAACTGTAATTTGAGTACAAAGCTATGAGTAGGTGAAGATGTTTTCTCTGTTTTGACCCTCTCCAAAAACAATTATAATAATAAAAATGCTCTCATCATTTGTGTTCAATCTTTTTGAATCTAGACATATTTTTATCTAGACAAATTGTTATTGGATAACTCTTTGATCTAGGAGACCTTGTCGGTAGTTTAGTTTTTGCTTTTGATTTTTGGTTTCAAATAGCATGTCTTTTACCCGTTAAATTGGATGTGCTGGCATTGGAGATTTTGTCAATTGCATTGCCTGCTGCGCTGGCTCTTCTGGCAGACCTAATTACTTCATTAGTAGATACTGCATTTGTTGGCCATTTGGGTAATTTCCTTGGAATCTTTTTACGCAACTTTTCTTCTAGAGCTTCATCCAACATATGAAAGCCCACCATGTGCGTTTTTGATGCTGATAAATTGCGCATATACATATTAACCTTTTATTAGGGTACGAGTTTCACAAATGATGACTTGCTAAAACTTGATCTTGGCTCTTTTTTTTTTTTTGACTGAAATGTGAAGCAAGAAGTGGTAAAGAAATTACTGCCAGTGTTATTACTGAACACTCTTTGTCCAATCATTTCGTTTACAAATGTCCACATATTCAAGTTTGTATCTTCCTTGGTTCTTAACTATGGTGCATCATGTAGGATCGGTTGAATTGGCAGCAGTAGGGGTTTCAGTTTCATTTCGTTCAGACCATGGAATAATTGCTGCGATTAAACTTGTGTCTCTAAGAAAATAAAGAAGGAAACATCACTTTTTGTCTCTGTACTCTTTGATTTCTGTATTTTCTAATCCATGTTATAGAACTGACTGTTGATATTTCTTTAACAGAGCTAGTCATCTTCTGTTCTTTAGCATGTGATATTTCTTCCTGTTTTGCACTTTTGTTTAAGCTTGACAGTGAAAGCATTTTTCAACCTAGAAGATTCTGCAAGGCAAAACTTTCTTCATTTTAGTTTCTTCATTTCAGCAAAACTAACTTTTTGTTTGGATTGTCATTTTAAGAGTTTTTAAGAGCTTTTCTCTGTTATTTCATTAATCTGAATGTAAGCTTGAGAATTGAGATAGGAACAAGTTAAAGAAATGTTAAAATTGACTTGAAGTGGGCATTATTTCTTGGAATCTATTTTATTACTTTTGTACCTTATTTCTTAGAAATGTTATTCTAAATTTCTGTTTTGGCTAATCAAAATCTGTATTGGTTATTAAATGTGTTTTGATTAAGGAATGTACAGCTCTCCATTCAACTCATTTCAAGGTTCATCATCAAGTCCAGTGATGGAGCAAAATAATGAAGAAGTGGAACAATTGAACTACAACGAAAAAAGAGCTGATGAGATAAGTGAAGAAGAGATAGAAATGATAGAAGGTGAGAGCAATGAAGGAGAACAGCAAGTAGATGGAGATGAAGGAGCTGGTCCTTTTGAGAAAAAGCAAAGGAAGAAGAAATCCAGCATATGGGATGAAATGACAACAGTAGTGCTAGATAATGGGACGATCAAAGTGAAGTACAACCATTGCAAGGAACTTTTTGCCAAGAGTGCAACCGGAGCCACATCTCAGCACAAGAGACACTTGAATTCTTGCCTACAAAGAAAGATGGACATTGGGGAGCAAAGCAAACAAAAGCAACAAGTGTTGTCATTCACCGAAGGCCCAAGTGATGGTATCACTTCCATCACAAATTTCTCGTATGATCATGCAAAGGTAAGAGAGCTTGCATCACGCATGATTCTTGCACATGAGTACCCCTTTTCTATGATGGAGCATGTAGTTTTCAACAAATTCATGAAAGCGGTTTCTCCATTTTATAAAAAGATTAATCGGCAGACTGTTAAAGAAGATTGCATTAGTACTTATACAATTGAAAAAAGGAAGCTGAAATCATTGTTGAAAGGTGCTAGTAGGATTAGTATTACCATAGATTTGTGGAAATCTGGTCAAAAAATTCAATATATGGTTGTGACTGGTCATTTTATTGATTCTGATTGGGTGCTACAAAAACATGTGTTGAATTTTTGCAATGTCCCTCCTCCTCATACTAGAGTTATTATAGCTGATGCTCTAAGTAAGTGCTTTATTGATTGGGAGATTGAGAATAAGGTTTCTAGCATAACTGTTGATAATGCTTCATACAATAATGTGTGCATTAGGAGACTTAGAAAGGATTTTTCTCTAAAAAAGAGATTAAGTATTGGAGGAAAAATTTTTCATGTTAGATGTTGTGCACATATACTTAATCTCTTAGTGCAAGATGGTCTTGGTCAACTTGGTGGTGTGATTGATGCTGTTAGAAAAGGGATAAAGTACTTGAACAATTCTGAATCTAGGCTTCTTGAATTTGCCAAAATTAAAAAAAAGCTTCAGTTGCCCTCTAGAAAGCTAATTTTGGACTGTCCAACAAGGTGGAATAGCACCTATTTGATGTTAGTTTCGAGTTTAGAGTTCAAGGATGTCTTTCCAAGATATGCAGACATTGACCCCGGATTTCACTATGTTCCTACTGATTTTGAGTGGATGAAAGTGGAAGAAGTGTGTAAATTTCTAAAAATATTTCATGAAATCACTGATATGATTTCCAGGTCCGAGTATCCAAAGGTTAACATTTTTCTTGTGGAGCTCTATAGGATTAAAGAGCTTTTAAATGAAAAAGCCCTTAACCCTTTTGAGCATATTTGGGCTATGGCTGGAAGTACGTCAGCTAAATTTGATAAGTATTGGGGAGAAAGTAATGTGCTGCTATCTTTGGGTGCAATTTTGGATCCGAGATACAAAATGTTTCTTATTAATCATGCTTTTCCGGTGATTTATGGTGAGGATGCAGCTCCTAGGTTCGTGGCTGAAATTAGAGACTATCTTTATGAGGTTTACAATGAATATGTTGATTGTCACATTGTTTCCCATTCTGAACAACAACAGAGGCAGGTTGTAAAAAGAAGACAAAATGAAGGTTCTAGTTCTTCTAGTAAGAAACAGAAGATGATTGGACCCGCCGTTTTAACTGGTAAAGAAAAGTTTCACATGCATGTGAGTGAAATTGACAGGGCTCCACCAGAAAAATCAGATTTAGATGTTTATTTAGAGAAAAGTAGGTATGCTTGTGATGCAAATGCAAATATAGATGTTTTGGGTTGGTGGAAAGGGGAAAGATTGAGATTCCCTATCTTGTCAAGGATGACTGCCGATATACTCTCCGTTCCTGTTACAACTGTGGCTTCAGAATCTACTTTCAGCGCCGGAGGTAGAGTAATTGATGATTGACGAACTTCTATGTCAGTTGAGACGGTGCAAATGTTGCTTTGCGGCAACAATTGGATCCGCAGTCTTCATGGCCTAAAAAATAAGTCTCGCGTAAGTAATTGATTGGATGTTTTTGTTGTTGTTACAGTTTCCTTATATCTGATTTTGAAGAATTTTATAACTTTCATACTTTTGTTTTGTAGGAATCACTTGATGCGGCCGAATCAATCACATTTGAGGAATTTGAACTTCTTGAATCATTCACAACCTGATTTGGTGGCTGTTGATGTTGCTTGGTGGCTGTTTATGTAATTTTTCATGTTGTAATCTGATCTGGTTCGGGCTATGTTGTTATCTGATCTACTTTGGACATTTTGGTTTGGACATGTTGTAATCTGATCTGGTTTGGACATTGTAATCCAAGTTTGGACATTTTGTTCCTCCATTTGATGGTTTTTGCTGCAATTTTATCTTCTTTTTAACTCCATAATTATTAGGTTCTGGCTTTTTATTTCGAGCTTGCTGCAGTATTAGACTCTGCCTTGTATTGTCATTTGGCATGGCTTATCGAATTGAAGATGATATATCAGGGAATGTGTATCTTCTTTTGTCAGGCTAAATATGAGTGTGCAAGGAGCTGATATGTTGTCTCCCGTAAACGAGCTCGAGCTCGAGCTTCGAGCTTGAAAAGCTCGGCTTGATTTCAAACTCGAGTTCGAGCTCGAACTCGAGTTTTCTACCCAATACATCGAGTCGATCTCAAACGCCTTGTGAAGCTCGAATTACTAATCGAACGAGCTCGAGCTACTTCAATTAGAGGTTCGAGTCGAGCTCGACTCGACTCGTTTAACAGCTCTAGTTTTATTAAGGTGGGCCATGTGAGTATGAATTCTTTATTAGTATTAGTAGGAGTTTTTGTATAGGATATAAGTACCAAGTCTGGCTGTTTGCATTTGACATATTATTGTACAAACGAATAAAGATACTAGTAATAGTTCACGTGCTTTGCACGTGATTGTAATATCTTAAAATATATTATTTTTCAGATACTAAAATTTTTTATGAAATTTTGATCATCAACGTCATAATATAGTATTTTTATGTTATTTATTTTTTTAAGTTAGTTACTTTTAAAAATTTTATTAAATGAAAAAAGACAGAAAATATTTCAATATAGTTGACATATCCCTTAAGATTGAATCTGAAATCATGAACCAAACACTTTTTTATTTATAGCTTGAACTCTAACATATCAAATATTGATAATATTATGTTTTACCAAAATTATTGTAAATTCATGACTCTATTGCATATAAACCACAATCATCACAATTTTTTATAAACGAAGAATATAATTAAGTTAGAAAAATAAACATAAATGTAATTTGAATTCTTTGTATTATGTTAATTCTATTTTTGTCAATAATGGAGTATAAATGATCTATCACGTAAAATTTTTTTGGTTTGTACATTCTAACAATTGAAATTTTATAGATAGAGATAGTTGGAGTTTTTCTATTTTTCTTTTCTTTTATTCATGTTTTTAGCACAATCCAATGCGAAACAAGAGCAACAAGTCTACTTTTTTCATATCAGCACAATATTTTTTGTTTTAATATTAGTTTTTTTTATGATCATGAAATTGGAATGAGAATTGTGGCTAATTAATAATTTTAATATTAATTTTTTGTATACTGCAGTGTTTTAGTTTTTAATTGCCAACTTTGAATCCATAACTGCTATCATTATTATCAATTATTGGAATGCATTAAATCTGTTTAATTACAACTGTCACCATAAATGAAATTTACTTAATTTTAAAGCTTTTCATTTCATAACCGCTTCCATTATTCACTAATATTGCAATACAATAAATATATGTAATCATTAGAAAAATAAGGGTATTTTGGATATCACCAAAAACAATTTGGATATCATTTTCATTTTATCATTCTTTATTTTATATTTACTCTTATTATAATTCTTATTTTATCATTGGAGATGGTTTCTGACTTGATGGATGGATTTGGTTTGTTCAAACCAATACAAATGAAGTATTACTATATTATTGTCAATAACAATGTTTGTCTTCCCTTAGATATCAGTGATTTGGTTGTTGTCTTTGGTATTATTTGAATTATATTCTAACTTTTTAATTCATTTGCTATTTACTTTATGTCATTTTATAAATAGTTTTCAATCTTATTTTAGTTTTTCTTGTTTTGATCGGTTGCTATTAATGATAATAGTGGTTTGTATGGTGCTATTTTAGATTTCTTTTTTCTAGTTTAATACTGCAATTTCAGTTATAAAGGTGTCATCGTTTTTTGTATATTGAAATTTTATTGGGTGCAACATGAAAAATTCTTCATATTGGTAAAAGTGCATAATTGTAAAATTTACTCGTGATATTTGTGTGAAGATATACAGATGAATAAGGGTTTTTCTTTTCATTGTATGTTTCTCTATTTTCTAGAGAATATCTATTTTTTGAAATTGATTTTTTTAACAATCTCAACTAATGACTAATGAGAAATTTTCATGCTTCAATTAAGAAATTTTGATACGTATAATAATAAGAGATGGAGTCCAAGGGTAGGTAAATAGTTTTTAATGAGGAATTTTTAATTATAATTACCAATACCATTAAAATGTAATTAATTGGAGTGTTTTATTTCTTTTATTTAGTGTCACTTAAAATGCAATAATTCTAATTAAAAGACATGAGGGTAATTTAGGAATAGCAAAAACTAAGATAAAAAAGTGCTTACACTTGCACTCCCTAATACCAACATTCATACTTTTTATATAGTAATGATAATGATAATGATTATAGTGAGAAACCTCTGTCCGTTGTGTTTTCTTTGTTTTGCGCCGCTGCTTGGTTTTCATCAATAAAGAATTTCTTTGCCTCTATATCGGTTCTTCTTGATTGTTCTTGTAGGTTTTTGTGTATTTATCAATTTGGGTCCATCATGATAGCCTTTAAGAATTAGTTACAAAGGTTATTTTTTGTAAAAAAGACAATTTGTAGACCGTCGTTAAACAGCTTTAAAGGCAACAGGCCTGAAAGATACATTTTGAGAGTGAGATCTTTTAAGGCAGAGGCTGGAAATTCTATTAGGTAGTGACTGCTGAAGGCTGGTGAAAACATAGTATTAACGTTAAATTTCCTGTCCTGATGCTTACGAGGTGTACTTTCCTTTTTTTTTTGGCTTGGAATTTCAATACTTCATCTGTGGACCTGAATACCTCCAAGAGCCATTATCTCTGTAAAAAAAAAAATGTTGGTCTGTAAAGAGGGAATAGAACCAACTAAGCAGATCGAAAGGAACACAACAGGAAAGCTAATGACTGTAAAAGATAGAGGTCAAATTGATTTCCAGGATCTGCATGAAGTTAAAAGACACGTGAAAAAGTGGACTGAGGTTTATCGCTGTATTGTGTACAATTAGGTGTGTTGTTCTCTCTCCTGTGTCTTTCCTGCTGAGGTATTTTGTCTCCTTGCTGATACCTTAGGAGGTTCAAAGTCCTATAATCTCGTCCATGTGTGTATTTCAATAATTTCACTCTGGCTGTAAGTAACCATTCGGTTGAGGATTCGATGTTCTCTACGCAGAAGTTTTGATTTAATGATCTTGAAGTTGCAGTGAGCTTTTGTTTGGTCAAGTTAATTACTCATTTAGAATCTTCGACTGAAATCCTTGGCGATATTAGGTTTTATTTTAACTTGATTGAGTCTCCTAATATTTACTCAAAGGTTTGCAACCAACTATTTGAGACTATTCATGTCCATCAACTCTCAGGCACATGTGATTGCTGTTTCACTCCCACTTCCAAATATCTTGATGTGTCATCTGCAATGGTCTTTTGCCATGTATGTCAAAAGTGTGAAAAAATATGCATCTTACTTAACAGGATTTTGTTCAATCCAATTATTGTTTACAACTCTGCCAAAGGGTATGTAGAAACCTTGATTTTTGTGGCTGTCAAGAGGATCAGCAATTTTGTATGACATCTCCTGTTGATTATCCGTTTATACTTGATTGCAGCATGTATGTATTATATGACACATTATAGCTTGTTTGGCAATGCTGATGTATATAATTATTGAAATGACTAAAAAGTTCTTCTCCCTCCTAATTCTACATCAGTCTTCAAGAACTCAAGAACAAGGATTAAGGGATTCCATAATGTGAACTTCCACATAAACAAAAAGGATCAAATACAAAGCTTAATCTCTATTATATCAAGGAATATTGAGTTCAATCACATAAGTAAGAGCATCAGTCTTGTAGTTTTCATAAATTTCCTTTGCGGCTTCCCTGAAAACCTCCTCTTCTTTAAAAACCCTGTTCAATATGCGATCTTCATCAGCAGACTGCTGATCAAGAAGCCTTACCATAACCACTGTTGCCCCTTCCATCACATGGCCAGAAGTTAACAGATGCATAATAGGAGCATGCCATATCTTCACATAGCCAGATGTTGGTAAAGTTGGGGATAAATCATGGAGTTCAGCAATCTGGTTCTCTCCCAAACAAAGTGTACCTTCTTTATTTGAATCAGAAACTGTCAAATCCTTCAGCTCCTTGTGATCCTCTATAACATGTCTTACAATGTGATTCCTCCATAAAGCATCCATTAATCGTTGTATCGCGTGATTAGCTCTCGATCTAAGCAACTCATTTGTAAGTGAAATTGGCCGAACATCATTCTCACAATCTTCCATTTGCATTATCCTGAAAGTAGTTGCAAATAGAACTACACAAAAGCTTAATTCACTCCCAAACTCGGCTTCCCATTTCAGCACTGACTGATTTTCGTGGAAAGATGGTAACTCGACATGAAGAGATTTAACACGTCCTAATTTTTTCAGAAATTTGGTGAAAGCTCGGAAAACAATGGGATCAAATGAGACAGAAAGTGGTGGCTTGGGGAGAAAAATGTACCTTAAATAGCGTACAGGTTTGGTATAGATGTTATCAACAAAAAATTGTAACACATTCTTTGCAAAACTT